CATGGAGGTGTCCGGCAGAACGTCTCCTGATGGGCTGCTTCTCATTGGTCCAGGCCAAGCTGGAACCCGAGGTAGGACTAGGCTGCTGTCCAGGGTGCTGGATCTGAAGAGAGATGGCTTGCGATCGGTGTGTTGGGCTGCTGTTGAATCCCTACTCAGCCATGGACATGCTGAGTGACCTTGAGCCAGTTGCTCGCTCTCGCTACCTAATCTGTCTTGCAGGGCTGTTGTGGGGATAAAGTGGTGGTGGAAAGAGGAGAAGTAGGCCTGGTACCGTGAGCTCCTTGGGGGGGGAGGGGGAGAGGAAACAAAAATGGAATGGATGGGATTGATTGGCAGCTTTTCTTTTCTTTTTTAGACTTATTTTTATCCTTAACAGTACAATTGAATACAGAAGGAGAGGTAAACTCAAACATAAAGCTTACAATATATCTTACAGAGATGTAAAAGTTATAACCATTGTGCGTACCGAATTTTCTATGGACCAAAAGAACCCTAATTCAAAATCTTGGTAAACTTAGTTAGCTATATTTTACTTCTTTCCTCCTGTGGCTTCTCTTGACTTTTGCACTCTCTGTTAGTGCTTGAAGACCGTACCGTGGATAAGTACTTACTCCTCTATACAGACAGTGCAGGTATCCAGAGCGTTATAAGAATAACCACCTGTGATAAATATGGTTTGTGGGTAATATCTCATGTTTCATCATATAATTCACTACCGGTGACCAGAGCCTTCTAAATTTCGTGTGTAATGTGGTATTTGAAGCCTGGGCCTCTCAATTTAGGTTGGTGATTTTAGCCATGACGAACTGTTCCCAGAGTTTATCATGCCACAGATTGGCAGCTTTTCATGAGCAGGGTTCCCGAGTACATCACATTCATATCTCATGGATATGAATGGCATCAGTGGAGGGATAAGCCCATCAGTGGCTACTAGCCATGGTGAATGAAGGGAACCTCCATCTTCAGAGGCAGTCAACCTGTGAATCCCAGTGCTAGGAGGCAGCATCAGGGGAAGGCCTTGGCCTCTATGCCCTGTTTGTTTGCCTTCCAGGGGTAATTGGTTAGCTGGACGGGATGGACCCCTGCTCTGATCCAGCAGGGCTCTTTTGCATGTTCTTAATTGCCAGCAATAATAGATGGGGAAGATCAGGTTGTCTTGTCCTCATATTTTGTAGAGAAAGTTATTTATTATTTATTTATCGTTTTCAATTTGTATCCCGCCTTGCCAGAGAACTGGCTCAAGGCGGCGAACAAACATTAAAAGCAATAAAACAGTAAATATAATAAAATACAATAAAAGATACATAAACAACTACCTAACTTCATAAACGTTCTTTTGAACTATGGTGCTGGAGAAGACTCTTGAGAGTCCCTTGGACTGCAAGAAGATCAAATCAGTCAATCCCAAAAGAAATCAACCCTGACTGTTCCCTGGGGGAAGCCTAAGACTTGGTGTTTTGTCCTTGCTGAATCTACAGCTTCCCCATTTCTATCTTGTCCATCCCCTCCAGCAGAGCAAGGTGTTCCACCCATCCTCTGTGCATGCTAATAAGCAAGTGGTGTAGTGGTTAGAGTACCACTAGGAACTGGGAGAGATTCAAATATCTGCTCTGCCATGGAAACTTGGGCCAATCACGCTCTGTTAGAACATAAGAACATAAGAGAAGCCAATGTTGGATCAGGCCAGTGGCCCATCTAGTCCAACACTCTGTCACACGGTGGCCAAAAATACCAGGTGCCATCAGGAGGTCCATTGTTGTTGTTGTTCAGTCGCACAGTCGAGTCCGACTCTTCGCGACCCCATGGACCAGATCACACCAGGCCTTCCTGTCTTCCGCCGTCCTCTGAAGTTTGCTCAATTTCATGTTCGTTGCATCGATGACACTGTCTAACCATCTCATCCTTTGCCATCCCCGTCGTCTTTGACCTTCAATCTTCCCCAGCATCAGGGTCTTTTCCAGTGAGTGCTCCCTTCTCATTGGGTGGCCAAAGTATTTGAGCTTCAGTTTCATTATCTGGCCTTCCAGGGAACAGTCAGGGTTGATTTCTTTGAGGATTGACTGATTTGATCTCCTTGCAGTCCAAGGGACTCTCAAGAGTCTTTTCCAGCACCATAGTTCAAAAGAATGTTTATGATGTTAGGTAGTTTGGGAGGGTTTTCCAGACGATATATCCAGTTCCTTCATTCTTTCATGGTAGAATTAAGATAGATTCAAGCAGCGGTCATTTCCTGCAGGAGCGCACAGGAGAGGAGCTCCAGCAGTAAAGAGCCCAGGGGGCGGGCACATGCAACAAGCCACACACCCTGCTCCCAGCAGCCCTCAGTCAGAGCAAGAAGCAGCCAGGTAAGCTGCAGAGCTCCCCCCGGCCCCCCCGGTACAAAACAGTCCGGTGGCTCCTTTAAGACCACGTTTTATTCAGGTACCAGCTCTCCCTCCTCTGTGAGGGCAGATCTGCACGTTCCCCCCCCCCCCCCA